GTATCATTTCTTGGGCATTTTTTACGTTTTTCGTCGAAAATCCCCCCTGTAAGGGGGACAGGCCCGACTGAAGTGCAACGCTTGGCAGATTTTTCCTCCTGGGGGCAGCGCGAGCCCGCTCTCGACGCCCCGCCCGTAGACGTCAGGCCGACGCGTCGTGCCGACGCGGCGGCGGCCCAGCCTGCGCGGGCGCTCGGGGCCGAGCGCCGCCAGTGGCCCCGGAGCCGGTCGACAGCGAGCGAGCCGTGCTGTGGTCGATGGTCACCTGGGCGTGGTGTTGGCCCAGGCTTGTGATGCTCCAACCTACTTTCGCCTCGATCACCAGGAAGAATTTCGAGCTGTGCTGTTGTCGATGATCACCTGGGAGGGGTGTTATCCCAGGCTTATATGATGCTCCAGCCGACTTCAGCCTTGAGCACCAGGAAGAAGTTCGAGCGGCCAAAGAAAGTACCCCAAAACTCCAGGGTTTTCACGTGTCGGGCCCTGGGGGACACTCGCCCGGCACTGGGTCCGCCTTGCCGGCCCAGGGCCGCAGGCGGGTCGCGCGCGGCCGAAGTGGTCTGGAGGTGCCGTGCTCGGGCGGCACGGTGGTCTCTCGCCGCGCGACGCTTGGCTGCACATCGCGGCGTGAGCTCGAGCGCCGCGTGGGGGTTTCGAACCGAGCGTTATGATGCTCCAACCTACTTCAGCCTTGACCACCAGGAAGAAGCTCGAGCGCCAGAAAAAGTGCCGTAATTCGAAGGTTTTTCGGGCCCTGGGAGACTCGCCCAACACTGTTTCGACACTGTTTCGACACTCTTTTGACACTCTTTTGACACTTTTCCGGGTGCTCGAAATTATTTTTGGGATGTGGTCCTTAAGTAGGATGGGAACCGCATAAACCGAGCAGCGCTTCTGCGTGCGCCCGTGGAGGTTCCAGAGTGCTTACTGTCGGGGCGCTGAAGAAGGAAGCCTTGTCGTTGGGGAGGGGCTCCATGTTCCTGAGTTGTTTCACAAATTACCTTGGGTGTTCCTGGGTTATCGATGGGAAAGCGAAGTTTGGATTGTGGTGAAAAAGGCTTCGTTCCTTATCAGTGTTCCGTAGGTCAACGCCCCGACTGTATGTGCCTTCAGCCTTTCTGGACGTCTGTTGTCAAGTCTGCCTGGCAGAGCGATTCTCTGTCTCGTCCGCTCTTTGCCGGGTTTCAGCTTCCAGACAAAACCGCCGTTGTGGTACTGTAGACGGTTACACATGCGTTGTCCCAGACAGTTTCAGAACCAACGCGCTCCGTTTTGTCGTAGAATGTCAATGCGTTGTGGATGTGGTGTCCTAGCGCTATCCATGACAGCTGGACAGGTGTGTGCTCGACAGATCGCGGTGATGTTGCCACGAGGAGCAAAGAACAGACGAGAGCATTGTGGTGAGGGCTTCAACGTAAAAAGATTGTAGTGAAAGCCAGTAGGCGAACCATGGGGAGATCCCAGATTTCGACGTCGTGTTTCTTCCCGCCCGCCCGCCCAACCTCCCGACAGGGAACCCCGTTTTCTCGACCCCATTCTTGGGGCCGTTTTTCTGCGCGGGCTGTTTTTCGTGCTTTGGGATAGTCCTTCTTTGGCTCGAAAGCTGCTCCTGGAGTCCCAGATTGAGGACAGAGTGCCAGCCGCATTTTTTGCGACGGTGCCCGGAGGTCTGGGAAGTCTGAGGCTCCCCCCCATGGACGATGCCTCCTTCCCACCGCAGGCGACGACGTGGAGGCAGTCCCGCACCTGGAGGTCGCAGGGCCGCAGGGGGGGGGGGGGGCGCGGGTAGCTAACTGCAGCCCTGGCGAGTTGGCCCAGAGCCGCCGCGGCAGCGGTTGGCGCCCGAGTCCATGGAGCTCTGGCCACTGGCTGCGCTCATGCGGGCGTGCATCTTGCAGGGCGAATCCCTACGAGAAGACAGCACTTCTCTAGATGCAGGGCCTGATTTCTCCACCTCCTCTAAGGAGGAGGAGGAGGAGGAGGAGGAGGAGGAGGAGGAGGAGGAGGAGGAGGAGGAGGAGAAAGAGGAGGAGGAGGAGGACGAGGGGAGGAGGAGGAGAGGAGGAGGAGGAGGGAGGAGGAGGAGGAGGAGGAGGAGAGGAGGAGGAGGAGAGGGAGGAGGGAGGAGGAGAGGAGGAGATGAGGATGCGGAGGAGGAGGAGGGAGGAGGAGGAGGAGGAAGAGGAAGAGGAGGAGGAGGATGAGGAGGAGGAGGAGGAGGAGGAGGAGGAGGAGGAGGAGGAGGAGGAGGGAGGTAGAGGCCGAGGAGGGTACCCCCCGGCGGCGCCTCCGGCGCCGCCCCTGGCGCGCTCCGCGCGCCAGGCAGGGGGGTCCAGCGCAGATTCAAGAAATCCGCGCGGAGCGCCACAAGTTGATGTTTACGTGTCTGTTCTTCTTCCAGACGTGAAAACTTGAAACATCGCGAGAGATCACGACCAGAGCCCCCGATCCCACCTTTCCTGCAGCAGCTCTCGAGCCGGATCGGTCTGTGAGGACCTCGGAGCCCCGAAGCCGGGTGAGCACGACGCCCGCATCTCGCAGTCGGCGTGGGGGGTGGTTGACGTGGCGTCGGAAGTGCAAAACAAGCGCCTCGCTCGAGACATCCCCGCACTACGGAGGTTGATAGACCTCCTACCCTGACACGTCGATTAAGGAATTGGTTGTTTTCGGTTCGCGAGAGGGCGTCGCGGCCGTCATTTTTGCGGGTCCAGGTCCGTCGGTTTCGGTCCCAGCCCGTTTTCACTAAGGGGAGGTTTACTAAAGAGAGGTGTGTCCACCGCCGAACACTCCAGGCGCGAATGGGTCCGGATCCTACCCCCTGGCGGCTGTTCCTTCGGGTGCCAGTGGCGTCGCTGGTGTCTGTTGGTGTCTGCGTTGGTTTCGAATGAGACGTTCCTGCAATCTGGCTGCAAGCGGGTCCGTGGAAGACACCCCGGCGGATCCCCCTTGGGGTGCTCAAGGGTTTTCAAAAGGAGAGGAGTCGGGGGTGCCCAAACCAGCGTTTCACATGAGACGTCCCCGCAGTCTGGTCGCAAACGGGCAAGTCTCCTACCCCGTGGCGGCTCCCTTGAGATGTCCCAGTCTTTGCCTTGACATCGCGGTCATCTTAGAGTTCCTGAGTTTGATCGAGCCTAGTTATGAGTGGGTCTGAGTATGGGTGGCCAGGTGCAGGTGAGTGTGAGTGTGAGCGGGTCTGAGTTTGAGTGAGTCTGAGTGAGACTGTATGAGTCCACCTTGGAGTGGTCAGCTGTTTCCTTTGCCCTCTACATCGCGGTGATCATGGCGCTCTGAAGCGAAAGAACATGGAGGTGCCCAAGCCAGCGTTTTGCTGGAGGTGTCCCCCACACGGGGTGCGAGCGGGCAGGTGCCACACCCCTTGGCGGCTCCCCTCTGGCGAATGCCTGCTGCATTGCGGCGGCCTCGGGGCTGTCACAGGAGAAGGGTTGGAGGTGCAAGGCGAGCGTCTCACTCGAGGAGGAGGAGGAGGAGAAGGAGGGAGGAGGGAGGAGGGAGGAGGGAGGAGGGAGGAGGGACTCTGGGCGCGAGCGTGCAAGTGCCCTACGCTCTGGCGGCTCCCCCCTGGAGTGCTCAAATGCTGTCTCTGCCCGCGGCCTCGCGGTGAGCATGGGGCTCTCTGAAGGGAGGAGCGCGACAGGTATGTCAAACGGTTCGGAGCACTTTCCAGACGTGGCAGTACGCATCCATGGTGTCGAGACGCTTGGCATCGCTCGGACGTGTGCATTTTTCCTTCGGCGATGGCCATCGAGGAGCATCCTTGATCATTTGACGAAAAAAACACGCACGAAACCGAGGAGAACACAGGGAATGGACGTCCGAGCGATGGCGAGGACGTTGACCTGTGTTGCGCTAGATCCTCAGCGCGCGCGAAGCGCCCGCACGGTTCTGGTGTGTGCGTTTAAGAGGGCGCCAAGATGGCTCAAGAGCGCTCCGAGAGAGCCCACGACCGCTCAAGAGCGTTTCAAACTTTGTCCAACATGGCTTGGAGACAGCCCAAGAGGGGCTCAAGACGGCCAAGATGCGCTCAAACGGGCTCCCACGAGGCACTCAGGAGGCGAAACAAGTATGTGTTGTTTTTGTTCCTATGGTTGTTTGTGTTAAACAGCTTTATCTTGTTCTCGCTGTTTCGTGCTTCCGACGGTCCAAGGCAGCTCACGAGGCCCCAGAAATCAGCTCAAGACGGCCCAAGAGGCCTCTTGGGGCGGAATGTTCCCCCTCTTGGGCCCCTATTGGGGCCGTTTTGGGGCCCTCTTGGGTGACGCCCCACGAGCTCCCCAAACGGCCCCAAAAGGCTTCCAAAACTGGCTTCAAGAGGCCCCGGGGAAGCCTCCCACGAATTCCAAACGAACTTCCAAGAGGCCTCTGACCCACAACCCAGGCACGGTGGGGGGGTGGGCCGAATGCCACTATCGGGAATGTGAACCGAGAACCCGAGATCTTCGCCCCAGGAGCCCCAGGAGGGGTCAGGAGGTCCCCAAGAAGCTTGGCGACAGATCATCAGTCGACCGGTCGATGGGAGCGGAAGAGGAGGAAGAGGCAGGAGGAAACAGAGAATGTTGTCCTCATTATTCATGACCGCCTTGTTGTCTCAATGCGGTCAGCACTCGACCAGCTAAAACCTCCGCGCGCGAAGCGCGCACGATTGTTCTAGTATAAATATACAAGTGGCACGTGTGTGCCCAGGCTCATACAAAAAACTGAAGGGGCGTTTGAAGCAGGAGTGAAATGCAACAGCGACGTCGCACTCGAGCGCAAGTGGGGTTGCCACACCTTGCGATGTGTGTACCAGGGCCCCCCAGGCAGCCTCAGGAGGCCCGACTTGGATACCAGAAGAGGCTCCAGGAGGCCCCAGGATTGTGAGTGTTGTGTGTGTGTGTGATGTGTGCTCTGTGTTGTGCGTGCTTTTTGTGCGTTGTAGGTGCTGTGTGTGTTATGTTTGTCTAGCGTGTGATGTGTTGGGCGTGATTTGTGTCTCTGTGTGTGCATGTAGTTCTTGAGGCCCCAGGAGGCCCCAGGCGGCCTCAGGAGGCCCCAGGAGACCCCAGGAGGCTTCAGGAGGCCCCAAGAGGCTCCAGGAGGCCGCAGGAGGCCCCAGAAGGCTCCAGGAGGTTTCAGGAGACCCCCAGGAGGCTCCGAGGCGGGGTCTGGGGTACCAGAAGTTTCAGAAAGCCCCAAGGCCCCAGGAGGCTCCAGGAGGCCACCAGGAGGGTCCGAGGCGGAGTCTGGGGTACCAGAGGGTACGTCGGGGCTCGATTTTGGGAGGATGTTTCAGGCGAAACCGCCATTCTCTGAGAATCGGGGTCAAAGTTATTGAAATTACCATGTGTTTTTGAAAGTTGTATGTTAACATGTTGAAATTTCCATGTGTTTTTGGACCCTGACGTCACGATCTGCGTGAGGGGTGCCACCGATGTTCCGAATTTCGAGCATGTCCCTAGCGAAACGGCCAGAAAAATCGCGGACGCGGCGCCCCGCGTACGCATTCATCGCCTCTGAGCTCTACTCCATCGGAGAGGTGCGTATAAGAATATATATATATATATATATATATATATATGTGCGTGGGTGTGGATGAATACCAGGTCCCCAGCCCGGGGGCCCCGCCCACCTCAAAACCATCGGGCCCCCTTTTTTGATACCCCCGCCCTGGCGCCTCCGAGGGGCCTCCAGACGGCCCAGGAGGCCTCCAGGAGGCCTCCAAGACGGCCCCAGGACGCACCCAAGATGTTCATGAGGGCTCCGAGACGCTACAAGATCGGCCCAAGACGCTCCAGATAGTCCCTAGACGGCCGAAGAGGCTTCCAAGACGCCCCAAGAGGCTTCCAAGAGGTTTCTCCAAGAGGTCCACAAGAGGCAAAACATGGTTGTTTTTCTATGGTGTTTGGGTATTTTGTGGTTCTCACCTTTTCGGCTTCCCCACGCTCCAAAATAGTCGAAGAGGCTCCCGAGATCACCCAAAGACGGCCCAAGAGGCTCCCAAGACGGCCCCAAGACAGCCCGAGAGGGACCCAAGCAGCCCAAGAGGCCTCCAAGACGGTCCAAGATAGCTCCAAGACGGCTCTAAGAAGGGGCCCAGACAGGGAATCCGAACGGACCTTTCGGGCTTTCGGCCGTCAAAAGCCCTTAGGAGGGAGACTCCAAGAAGCGCCCAGGAGGCCCCCAAGACGCCACCAGAAGCCCCCGAAGGGCTCCCAACATGCATGTCACAGGTGCACGACAAACAGATCCCACGGGCCATGCTGGTGTGTTTCCCCATGCTTTGTTGATTTATATATTGTATATATATAGAGAGAGATAGATCTCTCTCTCTCTCTCGGAGTAGGCCAGGGGGGGGGGGGCCGGCCAGTGCCGTACCCCCCATGGGTGCATTGGGGGGGGTCCCAGTGCTCCCGGGACTGCCCAGGCCCGCTCCCAAACACAAGAGGGCCATAAAGATTGCCAAGAGCCCCAAGAGGCCCCGGACACGCCGAAGATGGCCTCAGGACGGCCGACGACGCCGCCAAAACGCCCCAAGAGCGCCTCCAGAGGCCCCTCCAAAGGGCCCCAGAAGCCGAAAATCATAAATTTTCCGGTGGTTTTTTGAAGCATTTTTGCGCTCTCGCATGTTCTGCCTCCCCACGGTTCCAGACGGCGTCAGAGGCCCTTCAGATCGCTCCGAGACGGCCGAAGAGGCTCCCAAGAAAGCCCAGAGACGGCCCAGGAGGCTCCCCAGATAATTCAACAGGGCCTCGAGAGCGCCCCAAGAGAGCCCCAAGAGCGACCCAAGAGGGCCCGAAGAGCGCGACATTTCAAGGTCTCTGGCTTGAGAGGCTCCTAGGACGCCCCCCGGAGGCCATCAAGAGGCTCCCAAGAAGCCCCGTGAGGCTCCCAAGAGGTCCACCGGAAGCCCCAATAGGCTCCCAAGGGGCCCCTAGGGAAGCCCCCTGCGGTCAGGCCCCCAGGAAGCCCCAAGAGGCTTCCAAGAGGCCCCCATGAGACTCCCAAGTGGCCCCAAGAGGCAACCACGAAGTACACAAGAGCCCCCCTAGAGCTCTCCAAGAGGCCTCCGAAAAATTTCCACCACCCATATCCGAACAGGCATCCAGCAGGCCACTGGCCCATCACACAGGCATGGTGGCCTCAGGTCCACAACCCTCGTTACCAAGACGCTCGGTCTTGGAGAGGGATGCTGAGGGCCAGGACGACGACGACGACGAAGGCGACGACGATGATGGCGATGACGATGACGATGGTGATGATGACTGCGACGACGACGACGATGACGATGACGATGACGATGACGATGATGATGATGATGATGATGATGATGATGATGATGATGATGATGATGATGATGATGATGATGACGATGACGATGATGACGATGACGACGACGACGCTGACGACGACGACGACGACGACGACGATGACGACGACGACGACGACGACGATGATGATGATGATGATGATGATGATGATGATGATGATGATGATGATGATGACGATGATGATGGTGATGCGGGTGACGATAATGACGATGATGACGATTGCGATGATGACGACGGTGTTGACGATGGTGTTGCTAATGGTGGTGGTGATGATGATGGTGTTGATGGTGATGGTGATGGTGATGATGACGATGTCGATGACGATGACGATGAAGATGCTGGCGATGAGGATGCTGATGGTGACGATTATGAGGATCCCAGCTAGATCTTGATCGCGCGCGAAGCGCGCGCGATGGCTCTAGTAGATATATGTGTGTATACATGTTTTGGGGGGGGGCTCTCCGCCGCCGCGTCTGGACGCGGCTCGGAAACCCGGCCAGGGCGGACCCTGGCATGGGTCCGGCGGCCGGTTCTGGGCGGATATCCCGGCCCTGTTGGGGCGCCCGGCGGCGGCGACGGCTTCTCTCCCCCGCCGCGCCGGCCGAGCGGGGCAGGTCCCCATCAACACGCCGCCCTCGCGCCTGGTGGAGAAGGCGGAGGCGGCGGCTCGCCGATGCCATCCGTCACCACCCACCAAACCACCCCAGCCCAACCCGAAGCCCTCGATTTGCCCTCCTTTTCCGGTGGGGGGGGGGTCTCGGGGAACGTCGAAAAAGCACCTGGAATCCGTACCCCCCCCCCCAACCCGAAATTCGGGTCAAAGTCGGGTCTTCGGGTTGGGTTGGGGTGGTCTGGTAGGTAGTCAATCCGGCCGTCGGGGGCGCCGAGGCCTTCGTGCGCTCTCGCCGCTGGTCGGCGCGGCCCTCCAGCCCTCGGGGCGCTCTGCGGCAAGAGCAGCGGCGCCTCGCCAGGGGCGCCTTTTGGCGGTGCCGGGATCGCCCGGGAACGGCCGCCGGAGGCGCGAGCCGTGGCCCGAAAGCCACGCGGCGTCGAAGAGGGGGGTGAGGACTACAGTGAGCGGCTTGAGTAAGGAACATTTACTTTCCAAAAGGGGCTCGGTCGTTCCTTAGATTTTACATGCGTTATTTACAGTTCCTTATGCGTTATTTATTATTTATCGTTCCTTATGCAGGGGCTTCGTTCCTTATTTATCGTTCCTTAGGTCAACGCCCCGACTGTAGGCCCAGTGGGGGGGGGGATGGCAGCATGGCCGGCAGGGCCACGAGGTCTTCCAGGTGTGATCAAGCACTGGCGAAGCGTCTTGGCCCTCGCCTATGGCCCTACCAAGCAATGCTCTAAGAACCTTCTGTGGTTTCCACGACATGTTCTTAGAACATGTCTGGTGGAGTCTGTCTTGTTTTAGCACATCGGGTTCATGATCTAAGAATCTGGTTTTCGTTCTTCGAAGATTTGGGGGTTCTAAGAACATGTCGTGGTAGGACTATAGGAATACTGGCACGGTCGGTCCCTGCTCAAGTGTGATGGCTCCCCCCCCTCTCTCGTCCGCGCACGCCCTTTGGGCCATGGTGCGCTGCCCCCCCCTCTTCCTGGCCCCCCTCTGTCGGCGAAGCCGGAGGTTGACTGCGGGGCGCGCTGCAAGACTCCGCGGCGCGTGCGAGCGCGGAGGCGGCGGCCCGCCAAGTGCCATCCGACCCGACTGGGGGCGCGCCGCGAGGCTCGCTTGCGCGTGCGCGCACGCTCCCGCGCGGAGGCGCGTGCCCGCCCGAGGCATGCTTGGGAGGAAGGCGAGCCGCTCCACAGCGCACTGGAACGCACGCAGAGCGTCCCAGAACGCCCTGAAGACGGCCGCGCGGCGCCCAACGAGTCCTGCTCCCAGAGGTTCCCCGTCTGCTCCCGCCCAGCTCTGGCCCCATCGTGCCTTCCCCATCGCTGCCGCCAGTGCCAGCCGACCTGGCGGGGGCTCGGCGGCGCGTGCGCGCCTGCGCGCGCGCGTGGCCGAGCGGCACTCCTCCACCGGCGGCGAGCTGGCTCCGGCGGTGGCGGTCGGCTGGCGGCGGGGCGCGTCGGGAGCTGATAGGGGCGCGCGGGAGAAGGGGGGCCGGGCGGGAAGGCGGTGGACGGCCGCGGGGCGGCCCCATGAGCGCCCTCGGGGCATCTCGAGCCACTTCCGGCGGTGCCGGAGTCAGGCCCACTCCGCCGCTGCCAGCACGGCTGACCTTGCGGAGGACGATCAATGGAGAGGAAGCATGTTGCCAGATCATTTCCAGATGCCAAGGAAATGTGTGAAGCTTGTTGTAAACATGTGAAACACATGTCCCAACATTTCCAGGACATCTTTCTGGTATTTTAAACGCACCTTTTATTCGATGACAGGACTGTTAGGGTGTCCATTGTCGTGGCATCCACAGCGCTGAGCGGCACGCCCTGCCGCGCGTTCCAGCCGCCCCGCTGCCGCGCCCCGCGGCCCGAGGGGGCGCGCGCGAACGGCTCGGCGCGGAGCTGCCTGCCGAGCGCCTGCCGCCGCGCCCCGCCAGGACGGCACCCTCCCGGGGCCCATGGCGATCCTTTTGGCCTGAGTGTCTCATGCTGTTCAGCTTCGCCGCGGTGCATGCCCGTCTGCGTTCGGAGTCGCGAGTTCAGAATTCAGGCCTTGTGTTGGTTTCAGACGGCTCGGGCGAGCCCCACCTGAGGTCAGCCAATCAGAGCGTGGTTTCGGCGTCCTCGGCCCCCTCTGGTGCCCAGGAGTCAGCTGTGGGCCCTCTTGCCGAGCAGGTGTGGCCTTCGGCTTGGAGCAGGACTCTGGTCCCGTAGAGTTGGTGTGGGGTATGGTGAGAAGTTATAGTATTCGAGAATTGTTGGGAGAATGCTAACGCCATCAAGGAACGCATGCCTCGCGTGCAGAGTCACAGGGGAGCCCCTTTTATCAAAAAAATGCGACGCTGTCAGCACACAATCGAACGACGCATGGGAACTGGGCTGTGTGGCCGGTCTGGCGGCTATGTGGTCGCCGTCGCCGCCCCGTCGCCGCCCGATATCTGGGCCGTAAGGCCAGTCTGGCGGCTGTGCCGTCGCCGTCGCCACCCCGCCGCTGCGCCGCCGCCGCCGCCCGTCGCCCAGGCCGTTTGTTTGGTCTGGCTGCTGAGTGGTCGCCGTCGCCGCCCCGAGGACGGGATTCACCGCCCACCATCGTATTGCAGTTTAGATGCGATTCTGCCCTATCGTCCATCTTAAATAGGAAACCGCACCACGCCAGCCAGGCCACTATCGCCACTATCGCCACTACCGTCCACTGCATCAGATACTATGCGCGCGCACTTGTTTATCAAACACAATCAGTTGTCAATCGCCCCTTGCAACATATCCGACGAAGTTCGCACGCGCGCGTCGTCGTGCGTGCAGCTCGAAATCTTCCAAACACTTTCAGTGTCATGAGGCTTTCAACATCGAGTGCCTCGAAACGTATACAACAACACATGGTTCTGCAACGCCAGTTTTCGAAGAAAGGTCTGCACGCGCGCTCCTGCGAATTCTGCGGGAAAAAACATCTGGCTTTCAGATGTTTCATCAAATTTGACCCAGCGGGCCTCGCGCGCGCGTGTCGAAATCGTTCGAACGCCTTTGCACGCGTGTTGGGGGAGCCCGGTGATTGTCAACGAACACCATGCTGGCCACTCGCGCGTGTCGACCGCTCGCGCATGTCGAAATCATTTCAAAACTTTCATCACCGACGCGAGGACAACATCATCGTCGCCAGCGTGATCAGCTTCGACGCCGTAATCGGCCTTGCTGTCGTTATCGTCATCACCGTCACCATCTTCGCTACCATCATCATCGTGTTTGCCGTTGTTGATGTCGCCGTGGTACCCTGGCCGCCCAAGTTCCCGATTCACACTCAAGGGCCCGCGCGCCAGCGCGGCCTGCGAGACGCGCTGGGGAGTGCTCAGCGGTTAGCGCCACCGCGGTCGCGTCGGCCGCGCCAGGCTAGCTGGCCACCGTGCGCGCGAGCATGCGCGGGCTAGCGCGGCCGCAAAGATGCACAAACCATTCCCAATCACTCATCGCAATCGCAATCGCCGCCGCTTGAGTTTGTCAAGCCAAGTTGCGGGCGGGCAGGTAGGATGATTGCGCGAACAGTGGAGCTGACAACTCCTAGGCTTTCAGCATTCACTGCGCGCCATACACAGATTGCGCTTCTCATATATATATATATATATACACATGTGTATATATGTATGACCGTATACGCGCATGTGTATGTTCATACGAGGGGGGCGGGTGCGCCCATCACCGTCCTGCTACACGTAGCCTCTTGAGGCTCAGAGTTTGGCGGGGATTCGGGTAGCCCCCGCGCCGTCGGCAGAGCCCCGCCCGCCCCCGCGCCCAGGGCGCATTCGGGCGCCCTGCGAGGGCAGCGCGCGCGATGCCGGGCGGCACCAGGCGAACCCGACCTGGGTCGCGCCGCGGGAGGGGGGGCCGCCGAGGGCGCCTCCCCCCCCTCCTTGCGGCGGCGGCGCGCGCGGCGAGGGGGGGCGGCGGAGGCGGCGCTGGCGGCGAACCGCTGGGTCCCGCCCTCGCCGCGGCGGCGTGGGCGACCCGAGGCCGAGGTCGTGTGCGACGGGGGCGGCGACGAGGACCTGGCCGACGCGCCCTCCTCGGGCCCGTGGGGCCGCCCCGCGGCGGCTGCAGGCGCCGACGAGTTCCTAGGGGCGGACGTGGAGCTGGTCGCGCTGGTGGACAGCGAGCTGTACGCGTACGTCGGCTACAGAAGCGCCCTGGCGGTGCTGTGCCAGTTCGCGCGGCTGCGTTGGCGGCGCTCGCGCTTTGGCGGGTTCGCTCGCGTGGGGATGCTCTGGAGCGACGATAGTTATTGGAGCTGGTGGTCGCAGTGTGCGGGCGAGCGTGGGGCGGTCTCGCTCGGGCCCCACCTGCGTGTCCGCGAGGGCCCCGTGCCGCTGTGCGAGGCCGCGCTGCCGCCGAACTGCACGGGGCTGGTCTACGCCTCGGAGGTGGTGCGGCTGAGGGCCGGGGCGGCAGCGGGGCTCTGGACGCAACATCGGATCACCAACCCAGGCGCGGCGTGGCCGCAGCACCTCCTGGGGCCACCGCCCGGGTCCGCTCGGCCTGCCGATGCGCCCGCTGCGGGCGCCCGCCCGTTCGAGGGCCCTCTTGGCGAGCAGGGCGCGGAGCTCTCCGCGTCCAGAGGGGTGGCCGCCCTGTGCTCGCGGGTGGTGGAGTCGAAGGACCGTTTCGCAGCGCTGCGGGACCGCGACAAGGTTGTCGCCCTTCCCGTCGAGGGCGCGGCGCGGGCTGCACCTACGGCCGGGGCGAGGCCCGTGGTCAAGCGGCCCCTGGCAGAGGTGCTCGCGGAGCGCGCCGCGTTGCGCTCGGCGTGGGCCGAGGCTGCTAGCAGCACCGCCGCCGACCGAGGGAGGCGCGCGCGGCCCGCCTGCTCGGGGGCCGACCGAGGACGCGGCGGCCACGGCGGACGCCCCCCGCGCGCGCGGCACAGGACCTCGTGAGCGCCCTCGCGGGGCTGCTGGGCGGGCGCCAGGGCAGCGGCGAGGAGCTGGGCCTGGAGGGCGCCACGGGCGCGGACGGGTCTCTGATCCCGCGCGGGTTGGTGTCCAGGCAGGCTCAC